CTTGTAAATACGCAGCTTTTACCTAATTTTATCTAAGCTGAATCTTATATTGGACACCCTGTATGCATGAGAAGTGCATTTTTAAATCGGCGCGTAGGAAATTCTTTGAATAACGGACGTCAGTGTTCGAGTAGAGCTTTACACCTGTATATTTCCATCAATGTTATTGGCTGGTAGTGTATTCGGGGTGTCAAGTCCTTTTAAATCAACGATCCGCACCAATAACTTCAGTATAGAAGGAATGGGATGAATAGGTCACGCAGTTCGCTGTTCCAGATTTAAAATCTGAAGGAGAAATTTACTACCTTGTTTACACGATCGGTTCTAGAGAACTGTTTTTCATAATAGTTCTGGAAGACATACAGGGTTTGTCCGGAAAGTAATAGGACTGAGTCGATTTAAAAAATTTATTAAGCTAATCGTTACAATTCTTTAAAAACTTTCAAAATATACTCCTTCTGCGTCTATGCAGCGCGATTTCCAAGCATTGAAGACGTCACGGAAGGTATTCTCCGGAATAGCCTTGAGAGCCGCGGTGCATGCTGCTTAAATCCCCTCTGTCGTCTCAAAATGCTTGCCTTTTCAGGCGAGGAAACAAAAAAAAAGTCCGGGGAGGCCACATCTGGGCTGTAGGGCGGCTGCGGAAGCGTTGGGATGCCGGCCTTGGTCAGATAGCTATTCACAAGAAAGGCGGTGTGAGCCGGGGCGTTGTCGTGGTGCAACTTCCAGTCGGCTGCAATGTCTTGTCGGACCCGACTGACCCTTCGTTTGAGTCTCCTGATCACTTCCACGTAAAACTTGGCGTTGACGGTTTGTCCAGGAGGAACAAATTCATGGTGGACGATGCCTTTCATGTCAAAAAAGACAATGAGCATAGTTTTTACTTTGGATTTGCTCATTCTTCCCTTTTTTTGGCGAGGAGTCGCCGTCGTGTGCCACTCGGAAGATTGCCTCTTTGTCTCGGGATCATACTCAAATATCCACGACTCGTCACCGTGATTACGTTATTCAAAAATTGGGGGTCACTTTCACACATGTTCAAATTTTCTTGGCACACTTTCACTCGCCGGAATTTCTGGTCGTCAGTGAGCACTTTTGGGACCATCTTCGCGCACTTTCCAGCAAAACCCTGTATTCTATTTCAAAAAATGGCCCGAGTAGGTTTCTTCGATGCAGTGCAGTACAGAGTCAACCTACTTGGCGCCACTTTCCTGTCAATGGAATGTCCCATATTTCATCACTTTGTTTAGATAGATCCTTCCAAGAGAAGAAGATTGATATTACATACTATGCCGTTTTGATGATTGGTTGTGCAACTTTGACAACCTGCCAGTCCGTCATTGTGACCCCCATTCCCATTTTCCCGATTCCAAGATGGCGCCCTAATTGTAATTCTATATGTAAAAATAAGAAAAACACGTGTTTCTGGTTAATTGCGTATGCGCAGAACCTCTGATAAGAATTAATAATGAACACATTTCATGGCTTCCTGTAATATACTGACTAACAAACATGTAAATACCTACGAACGTTTATCCGATTTTAATAATTTCTGGAATATACGTTCAGTGTCCCTAAAGTAAAATGATTAAATGTTGAGCTTGATTCGTTAACTAACTGCAGAAGCTGGTTCAATAATACATGTATGTTGAGGATACACGATTTCTTATACACTCATTGACATGCCTGGGCATCGTGCTGATAAGGTGGTCGATATCCTATTGGGGTATCTCATTCCAGGTTACTGCAACTTCGTGAATAAGAGCTGCTAAAGTCAGTGGAGGGTGTTGCAAATTCAAGAGCCTGCAACCCTTTCATGTCCCAGACATGTTCAATTGGAGATAGGTCAGACGATCGTGGTGGTGAAGGTAAGCGGTTGATGCGATGTTGATCCATGAAGGCAAACGATGCTCTGGCAACATGCGGTCTGGCTTTGTCTTGCTGAAAAATGTGGTTTTGGATGGTGTTTATGTATGGAATATTTCACGCCGCTTTTCTTTGGAACGGACTGGACATCTCATTTTCGAAACGTTGCCCTATTGAAATACATTCTCGCCAGCGTCGTGGGAAGTAAAAACTTATTACCAATCAAAATTTTCTTTGATTGCACCATTTTCGGGTGGACTTCCATTATCCAAAGAGTATTGGCGGTGTGGGCAGAAACCCATTAAGGTATATATCACCGGTGTCAACATTACCGTTAGTTCTAAAAGACCTGTGCTTGCGCTAGAGTTTTGATTAAAGTCACATAAAGCGAGTGGGCGTCTCTTTGGCGATCAGCATCAACAATGAATGCAATTTAGGCAACAGATTTAAATGAATCGTGCGAAAATCCCTTCCCTTAATTCCGATGCCTGAATAAATCCTTTTGATTAGCCTCTCGCTGACGTAACGGTGAACAGTTAATTGACTCGACCGGGAATTAGTTCTCCATCTGTCCGTTGGAAATCTATATACATAGGGCAACAGGAGGTACAGTTTAGTAATACGCAGGATGTCCTAGGAACTACTGTCATCGATTAATGCATTCTACTTAGAGATAACTAACCATATAGATCTGAAAGACTCTAGCGCCATCTGTGATTTGGTAGCAAAACACAAACATTAATTTCTGAACCCGGTTTGTTAAGCACCTTAGACAGTTAAAAAAAAATTTGTTTCTTTAATGATATTCAGGCGGGTGCTTCCATATAACAAAATAAATAATAGTTTAAGAAAACTAAAAAAAAACACGCTTTTATAGCTAACCGAACTAAAAAGTATGAAGTAATGTTTAATTACGAAGAGCTTATATTACAGTAGTAGATGGTCGAAGACCTTGGAGATATGTTCTGCGACTCGGATGTTTCGGCTGACTGTTTGTCACTAGAGTATTAGAAAACCGCGTTCAGCCATGGGTTTGGCCAGCACTACCGCCTGGTGAATGGTGAAGCCCTGTAGAACGTTATATCGCAAACACAATGTATCTTTAAGACTTTTTGTACGAGTCATTTCAGTTGTGTATACCCTTCGACATGGCTGTTAGAAGCTAGTTTGGAATCGACCTTTGTATCGTCACAACGACGATAGACCAATTAATGTCTGTCCAAATTGCTGCTAGAGACATATTTCCAAAGAGGGGATGCATTTCTCGACAATGAAACGGGATGATGTTTGCTATGGAATTAATCTATCTGTAGAGACACAACAATTCGCCTTTGTCATGGGGCGATTACTTATTACTAATCAAAGTGGTTTTCGCTAGCTGACAGATACAAATGACGTTATGGATCGCCCATACTATAAACCTGGTTAGAATTATTTGCAATCACTGTAGTTGCCCCTGAATATGAATTAGCTTTCATACGTTGGTAGGTAACATTTAGTGGGAATGATTATGATTTACCGGAATAGATGAAGGTCCATAAGGGCCTGAAAATAACTCAAACTTTTAGAATATCGCATCTATAAAATGTTTTTATGATCTATCTGTCGGTCTGTCTGTACGCTAATCCTGTATCCTGTATAACGTGGAAAGGAGCTCTCCGATTTCGATAAAATTTTGACACATGATTACCATAACAAGAACGTAAATCAGATAGCTCAGATCAACATAGTTTATTCACTGACTATGCTAAATGCACGTCTATGTTCAGAGACGATTTTTATCTGAAATTTAACGTCCAAGTGACAAACAGATTTATATCACGGCTCCAAAGAGATGAGGCGACCGTATACGAACTGCATCTAAGGAAGTTTATTTCATGAAAATCACAAAAGTGCTCTAATGGTTCTCACAAAGCCTACGTCTTTCTGCTGTCATTACATTAACTGGAAAATTACACTACAAGTTGTTTCGAAGATGTGGGAAGTGCAGAGACAATCTACTTGACGCATGGATACTAAAAATAATTGAACCGGTACGTTTAGCTGACCTTTATTGAAATGGGGAATAGGGTTTGACCACAAAAACATTGAAAATCCGGATTTTTTCAAAAACATTCTAGCGACGGACGAATGTAGTTTTACGCGAGACAGGATATTAAATTTCCATAATACTCAATGATCAAATAAAATTTTATTTTACTTTAAAGTCGCTTTTCTCTAGAAAAATGGCGTTTTGACCCCCATGTATATCGCAACATCTCATCACTAGATCACTTCTCTTATGATATCGATATAATAACTGCAACCTCTACGGACTTGTTTGGACAAGTACAAATTCATGAGTCTCTTGAATTTGCTGTGTTGTTTGCACAGCTCATTCTAGTACGGACATCGGTGGGACAGTTGCCTGAAGCTTTGAATCTGAAGTGTGGTCCGTTTAGCAGCGATCCATTAAGTTTGGGTTAATGCCGACTTTGCATATTTCGTGTCAACGCACTGACCAGGCTTGTCACCGACCACACGGTTTGATTACAAACCGACAGACAGACATTACTTGGAGTACCCCGAATATAATGTACCAGTATGTTTCCAGCAAGTAATACAGATGCTACCCGCCGTTGTGGGTGGGTGGCGACGAATAGAAAACAAAATGTAAATGTTATGTAAAAAATAGCATCAAGTAGTTATTTCCTGCACTAAGTATCGACCATGTGGCAACGATGCTGAGCCACACCGATCAGCCATGCCATAAGCGCCATCCACGATACTATAACTCATCGGGATCACCGGCAGGCTTCTGGACGCTATAGCATTTTACTGGTGAAAAGTGGAATGTATCACTTTTAAAAGATCCTGGTTCACTGTCAAAGTCAAATCCATGATCTCCATTGGCCAGTCTGGGAGAAATCGTGACAACAATTACTTCTTTGATAGTATTACTTCAAAACATATTGTTCTCCCATAGCTAGCAATAACCTCTACTTGAGAGATTTCTGGGTTCCGTATCTCTATGCAAAATATCAAAAAATATAGCCGAAAGTCATTTCCGATAGTAAACGACGCAGTTGTTTGTGTAACAGGTGTATTGAAAGGAAGTCTTAAATTTTAGATTAATTTATTTCTGTTCTTTTCAGGTGGCTTGGATGCACTTTGAGCAGTCCGCCATCTTGACTGTGCACAATCACGTGATCACACGGAATCCCAGGATAAGTGTGACGCACGACAAACACAGGACTTGGTATTTGCACATAAACAATGTGCAGGAAGAAGACAAAGGACGATACATGTGCCAAATCAATACTGTACAGGCCAAGACTCAGTTTGGGTATCTCCATGTTGTCGGTAAGTACATTTACAAATATACCTTGTAATATCCCGAAAATGAAGCGGCTTCGACTTCTAGTTATAATTACAGAACCTAACTATACCGGTCCGGTAAAATAGTACGACAAAAAAATAGGGACAATAGGCAAAGGGCAGATCTACAACATACCAAAAAATGACCCTAGTAAAAGTTCCACTGTTTTCGAGGTATTATTATTGTTTTTGTCTTCTTCGAAAAATTTCCTCTTTTAATATATCTTTCTTTGCTGTGCCTAGAGATAACAATATCATTTTCGATAAATACAAGTAGGTAAACTTGACGAACCAATTTCTTTTTCATAATTTTTATTTTAGAAAACTATTTTACTCAACTTAGGTATTCATCAATGAAATAAAAATCTACTAGACTGCGATAACTTACCTACTGAAACAGGACTTGACAAAGGTAAAATAATGCTAACGTTCTTGAAAAATTCGAAAAAGGAAAAAAATCATATTCAAATTATTTTCTTTAGTATAAAAGCAATTGAGAAACGTTAGGTACATGTCAAGATTAGCTGAAAAGATACGACACGACGTGTTGGTAAACTGTATATTGATAAATCCGATTTAAAAAAAAGCGAAAATGGCGTATTCCTAAGGCAATCACCAACTTGTCGATACATTGTGGTCACGTCTTTCACCACGTCACTTTCTCACTCTTGCCCGACCATCGCGCATCCCCAGACAGAAGCGAGATTCCTCACTAAAGGCCACCTGATTCCACTCCCGGTCCCATGAATCCCATAAACATAACATCTCGCGTGGAAGTAAAACGGCTTTAAAATCGAGGAGTATCAGTGATCGCGATTATGAGTACCTATTTGCAGAACGACTTATCTACGCGATATTATATGAAATAGGGCCATCAAATTATATGAATACGTCCTTTCTTAGTCCGTACATTGCGCCGCAACGCTTGGGTTGGCAGCACGAAACAGTAGACAATATTCGTCCAAAATACGATTTGTAGACGTTTGCGCGCTTCGAAATTGACGTTTTATTTTTGATATTTTTTGATGTAATTTTCAGTGTGCTGAAAACAAAACCCCACAGGGTGCTATAGAGCTACTTTTTAATTTTTTTCACTAGGTTCTTTTTAAAAAAATCGCGAAGTAGAACAAAAAAAGTGCACACTTCAACCCATCATAAAACTTGGGCAAAAACAAAATTTCAAAAAGTGCTCCGATAGCACACTGGGCAATTATCTTCTCAACATACTGTATGACTTTCATTCAAAAATATTGAAAAACAGAGTGTCAGTTTCGAAGCAGCTGAACCCTTGTAAATGGCTTGAAACTCACTGCGTCGGAGCCGCCTTAATGGGTTCTCACATATGAAATGTCGTTAGATACATCTTAGGCTATATTAAAACTTTATGAAAAGAAGATGGCGGATTTTAGTGAATAATCAACTTAAGAATACCCGTTTCACAGATTACAGCTTGAAGGGCTTTTTGAATTATGACATATGTTGTTGGGTTAAAAGTCAAAGTGACAGATTTCAATAAAAAATAAAATGAAATGGTTAGCAAGTCGCTTATCATCATCATCCCATCCCGTATGATGAAAAATGACTGATATACGTGTTTCGTTTTTTATAAAAAATTCAGGAATGTCACAGTTTATGGACGTTTCGTGGGCACGGGGTGTCCATATTCCAATAATTAAAATATTGCTGGCAAAATGCATCTACACATTCGAATGTAATAAATTTCATTTAAATCTGCCGTATTATAAACCATCGATACTCAAATATTGATCTTTATTGTTTTCCAATATATTGCGTCAAATAAATTAACCCAAATTGGCGGTAAGTAATGAAAAAATACTGTTATAACCGTATTTATAGTTATAGCATTTAGGCAGACTGTCATCGCGAAGTTAATTACAATATTCAACAAAACTACATAAATACATATTCCAGATGGGAATCAATCACGGTGGCCACAATTCTCATTGAAATATTGGTAAATGTGTTAATAGATGGAGAGCTGACTATAGGTCAAATACAGTAGATCCATTCCTAATTGAAACAGAATGAAACAGGAGTTGACACTCACTATATATGAAAAATGATACTTATAGGTGTTTCATAGATGTTAAAGGTAAGATACTGCAGTGACGCTTTCTGACATAATACCAAAGTATTAGAATATAAGCCCATTGTATCTTTAAACCAAGAATATAGTTTAACACAACATAGGTGTTTAATCAGCAACGTTGAATCCGAATAGCCGCATCTTGCAATTCCGCAGTAGTTATTCCATAGGGCAGAGGAATATTAAAAACAAGAATCTGAATAGAATGGAACGTGGAATTCTATCCTACTTTGCGTTTTAACTATAAAGATACGAACAAAACTCACAGCTGGGACTTCCATATTGAATTTTTTATAGAATTGTTTCATTATGTTCCAAGTTTTATGTTCTCGTATATTGGAATCATTAATAAGATTTTCAGGTCTGGTTAACATTTGAACCCTCAAGCGACATGATCGTTTATTTTTATTTTCAAGAAATAGCTGTGAAGTGCGAATAAATGGAAGCGCTTGGATATTTGTGACTCAATGATCAAATAAAGAAAAAGAACTTCCAATTCAGATGTGCCCAAATTTATGACACTAAGTAAGTGTGTTTCTGAAGAACATATTTATAATATGATAATGACTTTGAAAAGCTCTAACTCGGATGGCATGAATGGCATTTCTAATAATTTATTAGTTGCTGCTGTAAATTTTGTCTATCCGTCAAATGATGAGCTAATTATGTATGCAGACGATAACACTTGCCTATGTTGTGAAAATAATATAAAGTCATGCATTGATAAAGCTATCAACTATCACTTAATGCAAAAAAGAGTGCCTTCATAAATTTCACTCCTCGTTCCACCTCAATCAAAAAGATAATTAGCTCAATGGCAAATCGTTGGTTCAAGTATCAAGCAGGAAATTTTCAGAAATTCATTTTATCAGAACAAGTCACATTTTTATCCCAATGATGTCTGCATCCTCCAATTTTCCGCTACTTGTAGGGGTCCTTAGCATAGTTGAATAAAGCTCAAAGTGGCTACCTTCACAGCGAAAATTCGAATTTCCATCCACCAGATTGTCGTTATATATCGACGAGGCTACGTTGTGGCAATAAAAACAAATCAAACATATACTTTTATTTACCTGTATGCAAGAGTTATAGCTGTAAAAATTGGAAAGAAAAGGAAGACGGTGGCTTTGATGTACACATATCTTATCGCTTTGCCGATCAGTAGATGTTACCTTGCAATATTGAATTAATTTGGAACTCACGCACATTCCTGCTACAATTTCGTAGAGATGACTCACAGCATGTTAATTACGTAACGGTAGCCTGGCAGGCCGTAGCCGTTGCTGTCATTTACCTATTATATTTTCGAAATCGCAAAGTTAAAAAATTGCACCTGTAGCTTATACGTGTACTTTGAAATTTCAGTCTTCGGTTATGTAGACTTCGGATCACCTATCCACATAATGTACGAACTTGACAGAGTACAGCGTTAACGGCCTTCATACCTACCCCCTGAAAGACCATAATCCACAAGGTGGCAGTGCAATGAACAAATTCATGATAAAATGATACGCCTTGCCCACTATCCGTTGAACTTCAGTATGAACAGTATCTGAAAAATTGTTTTTCTTCGATAAGATAAAAATATTTTTGTGAAAGAAAAAAACCTAGATTACGTACCATATGCGACTTTCCTTTATCCATTTGTAATGCAATCACGAAATCTCATGTCTGTGCGACTATTTGTTCTGAAGCTATCGCGGCAGAAAAATTGACAAAAAAAAGTTGATATTTTGACAAAAAAACAAGAGATTATCACAAATCAGTCATTTTTACACGCACCATAAAACAATATGTATTAATAATGCTGCCCCAATCGCACAGTTGAAAAAAATGGATGAGCGACCTTAAATTTCCATTATTATTTGCCCAGGGAAAGCAAAAGCTATATTTCTGCGTCCAAAAGGAGATATGAAAGATACTGATGTCATCTATGAGACAAATCAAAACACAAAAATAAATTAACAACTATATTTTGAAAAGGATGACAGTGTCTGATGCTGCTATTGTACCATAGATAGCGCTGGGATCATCATTCCCCCTTTGCCACCTCTAATTCCTATTCTAATTTGGTAGAAGGGCCGAATACATTAATCAAAGAGAATTGTGATTTCTAAGGTTAGTAGTTATCAAGAGATGTCACATATTCTCTTTAGATACTATTTCTACTCCGCGCCACGAAAAGTTCACGGCCACTCAGCCTCATATATTCACTTTTCCTGGAATTGCTCAAGAAACTTTTGTGGCCAAGTTTTCTATGGAAAGTAGGTGTAGGTCATAATTTTGGCAAGTGAAGCTGCCAACATCTATGAATTACGATTTCTGGACATTCTCGCTCCCTCCATCAGCTCTCCTCTGGGCACTTGCTATTAAGTGCAGAGGAAAGTTGAATTTTAATTAGAAGGCCATTAGGCCAGTAGCGGCGGTGCTTTGTCCAATTAAATGTCTCTCGGGCCCTCGAATCAAGTCGCCCGCTGCATTTAAAATATTCAACAAATGATCCTGCAGAGCAAGGCACTAAAAGGCCATTCCAGTTGTTTTACCACAGCAGTGTACGTGTTCTATTGATTTTGCTGTTAACTGTTATAAAATGGCATTATTCACGGAAATTCTTTTCTGATGCGGCTATGTTTTCACGGGTACGAGCTGGACGAGCATGTTGGCATGGTCTACGACCTTCAGCTAAACCATTTTCCTCAAAACGATTAACAATCCAACGAATTCCAAAACTAGTGCGAAGCTTGCGAAAAGTATTTTTTATATTTCGACCGTTTTCGTAATAAGTTTGGATAACCAAAATGCGTTGTTGTGTTGTAAGCGAATCCATGACTATAAATGGCATACCTTTGACAGTTCATTTATGCATACCACATGACTT